GTAATTTGTTATGATCCACATAGTTGAATATCTTTACAGAGTCAGTAAAACACATAAAGATTTTTCCAACATTTTATGCTTTCTTACAAGTCCTGATATCCAGAGATTCTCTCATTCTGTGTCCCCTTCTGAATCTGACTGGAATTTCTGACCATTTCCTATTGCTATAAAATTGTCTTTAGCAAGATGTTACATACTTGTGACATTGATAATTTTACTCTAGCTATAATTTTCACGTTCTGTTGGATCACTTATCTTTGACGTGGACACAGATATGCATCCCCTCCAGTTGATGCTCCAAGTAGTTAGCTTCCAAATTTATCGACATGAACAAATAAGTACTTCCAGCAAACTTCAGTTGTATTCCATTCACTTCCTCTAGCCTTGTTTTGTCTGTTAATTTGTTATTATTGTCTGTGCCTTTAGTGCAGCTTAGACTTCTCCCTTTCGAGTAGTAGGTGCTTGATCACATGCTTCTTTCCTGAAATAGTTAAACATCAACCATTTCTTTTTGGTGTGGTGACTCTGTATTTCATTCATATTCTTTTCATGTTTCCTTTGTTGCTTAATGGTTTTGCTTATAGGATCTATCCATCTTGCTACTTCAATCTTTCTTTCTCCAGTTCTTTCATTTGAGAAACACTGATTCTCTTCCTCACTTTTGATTTTCTAACTCCAGGTCTTTGTAAATATCATTACAATATCTTGTTTTCTCAAGCTAAACTTTGAATTCTTTAATTTTTTTTCTATTTGATTTAGGTACTTTACATTCAAGGGCAAGTTTTAGAGTATCTTCCAATATCCAATTCTTTTTCTAATGATTATATATATAATATAAAAAATGTTCTTGATATCCTATGTAATTATTATTGTTCAGTGCCTCAAATATGTTCTTATGATAGTCTCTAAATTCAGCTGGAATATACTAAAGATCATTTTTTAAAATTTTATTATTTTTTGTATGTGTGTACCGTCAAATTGGATCTGACTGGTACAGGAGGAGATGGCCCCTCCTTCTCTGGCAAAGCATCTGGTGGATTCGAACCACATATCTCTGGGATTGCAGTGCAGTTTCTTGCCACTAGGCCACCAGAGCTCTCCTGAAGATCATATTTTTATGTTGTGGACTAATTTTCATTTTCTTAAGCTTTTCTTGAACTGCCTATAAGCTATTGATTTTCTGTAGTGGACCCTTGGCCTTGTTCTGACCATTGCTGCTGAGTTTCTCCATTGTCACTTGTCATAGATGTAGGCTAGTTGAATTCCTACTTAGTCCATCTGGTCAGATTCACATGCATATTCATCTTTTATATTGTTGAAAAATGGTATTTGCTTTAAATAAAGCATTATAGTCTTGCAAAATGCTGTTAGATCCTCTCAGGTCTTGTTTCTCTCAACATGTCCATATTTTCCAACTACCAATTATTATTATTCTGAATATTTGCATACCAGTTATCAATGAAGTTTGAAACTGAAGAAGATGGTAAAAAATATTTACTTCCTTTGTCTTTAGTTGTCAGTACATAAATTTGGAACAATAGTCATAGTAACAGATCTTTGTAGACATATGGATATGACCCTATCAGTGACAGCATTGTACTTCAAAATCTCAAATCTTGAAATGTTGTTTTTTGATTATCAATTTTGATTATCATTCTTTTACTTTTGTAATGTTTACTTTTATTTTCATTTTGTGTTTGAAGCATTACTTAACTAGTAGACCGTAACAGTTATAACAGTGGTCCTATACAGTATTTGTCCTTTTGTGATAGAGCTATTTCACTCAGCATCATGTCCTCCAGGGTCACCACTTTTTATAATATTTTATGAGTTCCTTGTTTTTTAGTGCTGTATAGTAAATTTTTAAAAATTACTATAGCCTCACTTTATAATATGCAGATTAATTACATCTACTACATCTATTGATAATAATGGGTGACTGGAATGCAAAAGTCGGGAACAAAGAGGAAGATTCAGTAGTTGGAAAACACGGACTCGGTGACAGAAATGGAGCTGGAGAGAGAATGATCGAATTTTGCACAATCAATGACTTATTCATAGCAAATACATTTTTTAAGAGGCATAAAC